AAATCCAGTTCGGTACAACCTGATCTACCTCCAGACGAAATGAATCAATTTTTTAGTACAATTGCAGAGAATATAATTACATCTCTTTCCACTATTAACGTCGATGTCCTCGTCAACTATAGAAATTATCCTTCTCCGAGCAAGTCAATTTTTTTTTCGGCCGTTCTGGAAGAATAGGGGTCTCTCAAATAATAAAGTCGCTTAGTAATTCTATATTGTAGGGACGTTCACGAGATTAATAGCAAAATTTTAAAAGAAACTTACCAAATAGTTTAAACACCTTTTACTCATCTTTTTAATTTATTTTTATCCACTGGAGTATTTCCAAAAGTACTAAAATACTTAAAAGTACTACCAATCTACAAAAAAGGTGATTCCTCAAAAACTAACAATTAGAGACCCATAAGCATTGTTTCTACTTTTGGGGAAAGTGGTTGAAAAGGTTATCAAACAACCAATTTTATTCCTATTTTGAGTCAAATAATTACTTTAGCAACTCACAATATGGATTTAGAAGTGCTCGTTCTACTACGATCCGCGGTATTTAATGTTGTGAGCGAGGTGATTGAGGGGCTTGAACGCGGCAATCGCATAGAAATTTCTCTTTGTGACTTATCAAAGGCTTTTGACTGCGTTTCACACGACATTTTGCTCCACAAATTAAATTACTATGTAATCAGAGGTATCCCTCTTAAGCTTATAACTTTTTATCTATGTGGCATCATCATCTGGTATCATCTCTATGATTTTCTATCCGTAAAACATGGAGTCCCGCAATGTTCGGTCTTAGGACTTCTTTTGTTTATTATTTATGTCAACGATCTGCCTAAATTCATATCTCCGTACAAAACCATACAATTCGCAGATGATATGACATACGTTATACCAGGAAAAATAATGAGGATTTAAAAATGTCTCATGAGGAAGTTTCTACTAAATCTAGCTCATGGTTTGCTGCAAACAAACTAAAACTTAACTCTGATAAAACGCAAAATATGGTTATATCTGCAAGTAATTTGCACAATGATCTAGTTAACAAAGAGACTGTTAAAACTATTGGAAATAACCGCAGATAATCGACTCAACTGGTCTGCTCATATCTCACAGCTTAAGAAATAGCTATCAAGTTCATTATTTGTTATTCGCCAACTAGCAAGGGTTGTCAACTTTGAAACATTAAAAATGACATATTTTTCTTTATTCCACTCTCACCTAAACTATGGTCTATATTATATGGGGCAATTCAACAAATGCACTTCAATTTTTTAGAATACAAAAAAATAGCTGTCAGGATTTTAGCAGGAGTTAGTTATCTAGAACACTGCGACCTTTCTTTATCAAATTCAAAAATTTATGCCGCTACCTACTCTGTTGATATTTCATGTTTTAACTCAAATTCACAGAAAACGTGCCCATTTAATAAAGCAGTCTGATGTCCATGTTACACAATATGCGAAACTGTCACTACTATCGAACAAATCGCTGTAGATTAAGTCTTTCAGAACAAAATAGTCTTAATTATAACTATTACAATATTTGACCAAAAAGTATAAAAGAGCTAAGCTGTAATAGTTTCGATAAAGTTATAAAAAAATATCTTTTAAAACATTGTTTTTACTGCTCAGAAGAATATATGACTCATTGCAGAACATCCACTGAACTGCTTACCGTAACTTTGCCATAAATATTTTTCTGTTTAATATTGTTTTTCATGTTTGTATTATTTAATGTTTTTATTATTTATTACTATGTATGTTTTTTTTTGACTTGCTACAAACAATATTTGTATATGTCATGTAGTTAAATAAATACTCTACTCTACATCAAAAAATGGCAAAGGTACAGGTGCTTATGAAATTTTAAGTAAAATATACAACCTTATAACTTATAGCAATTTTTTAGAGCTGTAACTTAATTGTATAATACCGTTTATACCAGCAGACACCTAATGGTTGTTCATAGCACTACCAAAAAATATATTAGAATTAGTTCTTTGGGATAAATGTGTACTGCTGTTCCATTGACTTCTAAAAGGCATTTTATTCTAGTGTTCTTCTTCCTTGGCTCTTATCTTTTTAGAGATTCCTGTTCCTTACTTTTCTACACTATTCATCTCATATACATCGTGTCTTCTTCACCTAAACCTTGCTTTGTCAGGTATTCTGCTACACAGTTCTTTCATCTTTTCCTTGGTTTTCCTCTATCTCCCTTTCCAATAACTTCTAACAAACCTATCTTTTATTTTACATAGTTTTTATTTTTATGCACAACGTGATCAAACTATTGCTCTAAGACTTAAAACTTTGTCCTCTCTTTGTTCGTTAATCTTTTTTGAGACTGTTTTTACCCAGACTCTTGCCCTAATTAAGTCATTTTTAATTCTGTCCCTTCTAGTTTTACGCAACATCCAGCATACCATTTTAATTTAAGCTAACTCCAATTTTTTATCTTGAATCTTCTTTACAGGCCCCAAGTTACCGCTGTACCCCATCACACTCTTGTAGATCTTTCCTTTTAGTCCTTTTCCGATTTTTCGTGTCCCATTTTTCGTTATGTAAAAGCCAAGGTATTTAAATTCTCTTACTCATCCCAGTTTTTCTCCATACATTTCGATGTTTTTAACCAATCCTGTTAAACATCTAGTAATTCTAAGTCATAAGATAAAATTCCTAATTAAAAAAACGTAGAGATCTCTTAATAGAAAAAGCCGGTACTTGCAATAGAAGTAAATATGCCATCAGTCGCATATGCTAAGATCCCATAAAATGACTATGAATAATAATGCTACCTTGAATAGCCTTAGTAATAAAATTGCGGACGTCGAACCTTGATAGATTTAAAATTCTCAGGATACGAGAATTCGGCAGACGCCATGTACCGCCAGCTAACACCATTAGAGAGGCCATATAAATAGTTTTCCGAGGGTTTGCATGGTCTAAAGGAATCTAAGCTCAGTGTACAGCGTCGTTTCATTAACGGAGGCTCTACTTAGGGGTACAGGACCCTCCCAGCTGATCGCAACGTCTGCGACAATTACTCGATCACCCTGCTGCGCGGCAATCCACCCTCTTTAATAGACCTTCTCCAACCTTCCATTTTCTCCTCCAACATTTCTTTGATCTCCTCTGCTAACACGATATCTCACATGGAGCCCCCTCTCTTTCCTCTTTATCAATACATCTATACCAAGACTAAACACGCAGGGACTTAGTGAAGAACCTTGATCCAAAATGTTTAACTGTGGTACTTTGGTATACGCTTTCTCATATATTTCCTTTGCAAGCCTTACATACTTCTCAGGAACCCATTTGTATCTCATACATATCCATAGCTCTTGTCTAGAAAATATTTATTAAGCCTTTTCAAGATCTATAAGTACCAAATGTTTTAAAATTTTCTTTTCGCCTTATTTTTCTATCAACCGTCTTCAGGAAAATAAAAAGCATTTGTTGTCCCCCTTCCTCGCATAAACTTAACTGTTCTTTGTCTATTAATATTTCTTTTCTTAACCTTCCCTCTATAGTTTTTTTTTCTAAATTTTTATTTTTCGCAACATTTACTTTATTCCTTTACCGTTTTTACAGTTCTTAATGTTCCCTTTTAACTTTATACAATAATATTATCACAATTTCCATGCATTGGGAATTCTTTCTTCCTCATAAATCCTGCTCAATATTTGCCACAAAACATCAGCCGTATCCTCTCCTAGAGCCTTTCACACCTTCAGACGTATTCTAATAGGTCTAACTGCTTTACCCTTCTTCATCATATTTAACGTCTCTACGCATCCTCTGCCTCTCCTCTAGTGTTTTTTATTTGTTAATAGCTCAGTATTTTTATGAAAAATAACCCTGGTGGTTAAAAAAAAGATTAATTGGTAATAAGCTAATCGTACACATTAACTTTACACTATTACTTGACTTCTGTGGCCTTGTTCCTCAGAATCAGAAACTTTATTGGGATAGGTAAGTACAAAGTACTTCCCTGGTTTCGCTTGTTTATCTGTGACTATAGACATCCCACAAATTTAAAGAACGCTTACGCTGTTTGTGTAGTAAAACGCATAACGTACACATGTATTGAAAATAGAATGGAATATGGGTCAGTAGGATGGGATAGTGCAAATGTAATTGAACCTGTAATAGTAAGAGTTAGTTCCAACGAGTCAGAAGAATAGATGGATTCCCAGGATTCCGATGATTTATAAACTAGGTTGTAAAAAATGTTTTAATATTCACAAAGAGAATGAAATTTCTGCAGTTGGCTGTATACCATGAATGCCAAAGGTTTTTTTACAAAATCCTCTATAAAAGGTATATAATTAAAAAGACCTGTTTGGTCACAGAATGTTTTCTGTCTAAAAAGTCCATCATCACTGTATTATTATTTAGCATATGTATTACCACCTTAGTGAATGCAAATGTAAAGGTTAAATCTTTACTAAGGTTGAAAAGGCAATGCGGTTAACTATTTAGCAGGTGTACATAAGTCAAGCCACTAAATATCTGGGTAAAAACTCTTAAGATGCTACAAAATTTATTATGTTTGAAATTTTTGTTTCCAAAATATTTTTATTACGTATGTTGTAATGTTAAAGTATTTAACTTATATCCTGCATGGTAAGATAAGATTCCCAGTAACAATTAAAATGGTCCCATAGGAATTAGATGCAAGAGGGCACAAGATCGAAAACAATGGAAAATTATGAGGAAGATCTATTTCTGGTAGTGGACAAGTGAAGATTAAATGATGATAAAAACTTTCTGTATATTTTAGCAGATATCAGTTTTAAGAATTGTTTCAGAATATAATTCCAGGGCTAAGTCAATAACATATTGAGCCATTAAATATTTATTCTAAAACTAATGTTGTTTTAAGTTATCGCTGTAGATATTCTGTATTTTTTAGTTTTACTTCGCAGTACTTTCACTGATTACAATCACTTTGTTTTGGTGCTTCGGGTATATTAAAGATATTATAAAATGGAAACAACATATTTTATACAAACGTCTTTTATTTGAGTACAAAAATAAATACAACGAAGATGAGATACATGCACGCTAAGAGAAGAACAACACTAAAACAACTTATGAGGTATATACATGAATGAGCAACATTTCTAGCCGTCTGAGATCATCAATGGTAACCATGTCCACCACCATGTCCAAGCGCAATAGCTACGGGGGCGTATTTGGTGACAACCTGAAATACATCAAAGAGATAAATATAATAATATGGTTTGAATGCGAACACAATCAATTAAAAATTTTAAATAATAACAAAAACATCACTCCAAATACTAGAATATGTTTGGTTTATTAAAAAATTAAATCACATTTTAATTCACCTCAAATGTAATAATTTTAATGTTGAAACCAGAAAGGACGATCTGTACCTATTGGTAAACATGAATAAATAAGAATATGATTAACAAGCAGAAAAAAAAAACTGAACCGAAGTAGTCTAAATCGTTTGCAAAATAAAAGAATGAGAAGAATAATAATTAAACAAACAAATTTTCTTTCTTCGACTACATAGTAACCAAGTTTGTTCACGGATGTATTAATGCCGATGTCCAAGGTTATCGCTTCATCCATTACGCGGTCTGTCGATGTCTGACGCTCCTTTGCCATTTCATTTTTCTTGCTATCTTATCTTAATAGACTTGTATAATTATTCTATTATTTTTTTTTATATTCACTCTCTGTTCTATTATTCCATGTACAATAAATTTTCCTTTATTACTGTCATTTGTTAGTCAATATCCCAGCGTTTTTTTATATAATTGTTTTCAGTATTCTTATCTCCAACTATTTTCCTATATGTTTTACCTTTGTTTGATCTTTTTGCTGATGAATACGTTAAAGGAAAGTACATAGTCGAAAGTATGTAAACCAAAGGTATTGGATGGGACAGAATTTTGGAAAAAATAACAATATAACTACGATGTCTTCCCTTGACATCATCGTAAATATAATTCTTCAACGTGTTGTTTTCACTAGCAAATGGGGAAAAGCACCAGACCCAGACGACATATACATAGAGGTTCTAACAATGTTGAGTGAAGATAATATAGATGCCTTGGTAGATCTTTTAACGACATTTATGGGTCCGGTCAAATACCACAGGATTGGCTTCAATCAACCTTTATACCAATCCTAAAAAAGCCAACGCTAATAGTTGCGACCAATTCCGAATAATCAGCTTATTGAGCCAGGTCCTAAAACTCTTCTTAAAAATAACTTACACAAGAATATACAACAGATGTGAAAACAGACATAAGCCCCACACAGTTTGGTTTCAGACAAGGATTTGGCACAAAAGAAGCACTTTATAGCTTAACTGAATTTTTAGATAACCATTACTTTAGGAATTAACGTTTAAAAATTTAAGGATGATGCATAAAAATATGGCATTATCTATACATCTTGAATAACTTCACGATTAAGAAAGAAAAATAAAAACAGCAAAAACATACTAACACTACTTAATTTTACAGTAAAACATTTGTTATTGTATTTAAGTTGCTGCTTTTTGGTTTATTTACATTAAAACGTTAGTTTGAAAGGTAAACTTTCAACAATGGCATTTAAGAAAAACCATAATTTGAATAAATAAATATATTCAAATAAATAAGATATTCAAAGGAATTTTCTAAAAAGATTGTTTAACTGAACTATCATGATCTACATATCAGATGTAGATATGGACATGTAAAAGAAATTAAAAACTAAAGACCTGTCAGCTTGTTATTTTATTTCTATTAGCTATTTATGCAAATAATGGGGTGTAAAGCTAGTTTGCCTCCGCAATATAATAGTGCACGTGCATCCTGATTAATCTAGTTGGACTCGCATAAAAGGCGCCAGACAATCTTTCAGAAGATCTTCTGACAGAAAGAAATCACTGTTTTTAAAGTTATTAAAGATAACACTTTATACTATTAGAACGTTTGCAAGAAGTCGGTTTAGATGGAAAAGACATCAAATTCTTAAAAAACTTGTACTGGAACCAAAACGCCAGAGTTAGAATCGAAGATTCCACATCCGCAGATTGTAGAAATTAGGAGGGAAGTTAGACAAGGATGTGTTCTGTCGCCTCTGCTGTTTAATCTTTACTCCGAATTTCTATTTAAAGAAGCATTGGAGAAATCCAAGGATGGAGTCAAGGTGAATGGCGTAAATATCAACAGTATCAGATACGCCGATGATACAGTGTTGATTGCGGATTCCGACTCAGGTCTACAACGACTCATCGACAAGACCAACTTGACCTGTGAGCAATTTGGTATGGAAATAAACATTTAAAAAAACCAAAGTGATGTCAATCCCAAAAAACCCAAAACGTACCTCAACCTTGCAAAATAAATGGGCACATCTTAGAACAGGTCAATATATTTAAGTACCTGGATGTTGGATCGATAGCAACCTAATTCTGATCAAGCAATAAGATCGAGAATAGAACAGGCCAGAAAATCTTTCGAACAAATAAAAAAACTGCTTTGTGATTCTCGAATAAAACTCGAAATTCAACTACGTTTATCAAAATGCTACGTCTGGTCGACTCTTCTATATGCAGTTGAAACGTGGCCCTTAAAACATCAACCGTAAATAGATTGGAGGCCTTTGAAATGGTGGATCTACCGGAGAATACTCAAAATTTCATGGACATCGCATACCTCAAACGAAGAAGTGCTGCATAGAATAGGCAAAGAAAAGAGAACTTTTTAACACAGTAAAAGTTAGAAAAAACATCATACCTAGGCAACATACTGAGAAATAATAAGTACCAATATGCCCAACTTATAGTGAAAGGAAAAATCGAGGGAAAGAGAGGCCTAGGAAGGAAAAGACTATCGTGGCTCAGAATCCTCATTGGCACTTTAAGAAGAAGAAGAAGAAAGATAACACTACTAACAAATGAACCTTCTAAAGACTAATTGACCAAAGAACTAGGATCCAGTGTGGGGTTTACCAACTTAATAAAGAAGGCAAAGTCATAAGTCAAGTCAAGCAAAATGCCTAATTCTGGACATAATTTTAAAAGAAAGTGATTTTAGGCTAAAAACATAATACACCAAACACATACAAAAGAAGGGGTCCAAAAAGAGCAAAAATCCAGAATATGATTTATTTGGTGCTGGGAACAAACTGGGACCTTAGCTAGATTTTCACCAACAAGCCGAATCAACTACTAGTAGTAGCTTTGGAACGAATGACCACTTGAAAGTAATAAGATCCGTGATAAAGAAAGTTATAGATTACAACAAGTCAGTGATACCAATTTTTGTAGACTTTAAAGAGTATTTGACCAAATACAGCATAGCTTCATAGTAAAAGCTGCTAGAGAGTGCAATATTGATCATAGGTACACAAATCTTCTTGGAAAAATATATAATGGTGAAAAAGCTATAGTAAAATTGTACTATGGCGACAAAAATACATTTTCCTTGAAGAAGCATAGTAGGCAAGGAGACACTATCTCTTGTAAACTATGTTTGGCTCTAATTTGAACAATACTGGAGTTAACATAAATGGGCAGTTTCTAAAAAACTTAAGGTTTGCAGATTACATAGTTTTTATTGCAAATAGGGCAGATCATTCATGCCAACTCCTTTAAGACGTTCAAAACTCTTGTGCGAGAGCTTGGCTTTAAAATAAGGTTTTCTAAAACAAAATAAATCGACCTTGTTCTGGCCGTAATGGTGTTTCAACATATGGTAAATATCAAAAAAGTATATACCTATAAGTATCTGGTCATGAGATTAAATTAGCAAGAGAAAACCAAACAATAGAGTTATGCATCAGAAAAGGTCTAACATGGGTAATAACAAGTCTTTAGATCAGATAGTCGCATGTGTTTAAAAATGAAGGTTTTTGTTTAGTTTGTGCTTCCAGTTCTAATGCATGGAGCAAAAACAGTGACTCTTACCAGAAATGTAATAAATAAAATAAAATTGGCACAGGGTGCAATGGAGAGGTCAATTTTGAACATATTTATTAGAGAAAGAGTTTTCAAATCAAATGTTTGTAGAAAAACTGGTACAACTAGTGCAGTCAATAGAATAACAGTGCTGCAATAAAACCAGGTAGGCCATATTGCTAGAGTCAAAGCTAAAAGATGGACAAAGAAAATTTTAGAATGGATACCTAGACAAGAAAATGGATACTAGAAGATGATTGGACGACATTTAGAGTATTCATCAAAACTGGATTCAAGTTGCTCAAAACCGTAAGAAATGAAATTGTTTATTGCAAGCTTATGGTCAGTAGCGGACTTAAAACGGCTAACGATTATGATGAGATCTACCTAAGAAACAAATTCAAAGTACCTGTGGGTGAACTGCATGTCCGCTTCTGGTAACAACGGCGTTAAATCCGTTGTGGTCATCAGCGGTGTAGTGTACAGTACGGAGAGTACCGTCTGGTTCAGCTACGGTGTAGGAACCTTTGACTACGTCACCATCACGGACTTCTTTTTGTGATTTGTGATCTCCGGTGTGGCCATCAGCGACTCCATAGTTGAATTCGTATTTTGGGTATGCCTGAAAAAATATAGAATTATTGGACTAATAATCTATGTACTATTATTTATAACTGTCAGTGATTTTAAAAATATGTTCGACTATGTAAAACACTGGATCAAGAATGTACCAAAAGCAATTATCAATATATTTAATCCTCCAATAAGAAAAAATGCTTTAATAGATTAAATAAAATACATAATATAAACGATACCTAAGACTTGAGTACAGTTGTTGAGGAAACTGAGTAACTTCAAACTTTACCAAAAATCAGTCGTTGCATGTCTTCAATGACACAAAGTTGAGACGAACGTGATACTAGAATACATTTACTGTATCAGAATAAACTACGATATGATGACGATATAATTTTAATATACTTTGATGACAATAAAGACGTAAAGTGGCTAATAGTCCAGAAAAAAATGGAGGGAGAGATAAGTATAGTTAATCAGAAACTAGATTGAGTGACACAGTTAAAAAACTTAAAAACTACTGAATACAAACCTCGTAAGTGCAGTATGGGAAACCCTGAATACAAAAAGATATAGAACAAATTTAAAAAAATGCAATTAAAATCTATTAAAAACATCAATATAATTACTACATAGCTGCTAAGATGTACAGAATAAAAGATAACTGATTAACTTTTGACAACGTTCTCGTGCAACAAGTTTTCCGATTAGATTTTTCATATATTTCTGTTTTAAAATTTTAAATTAATTTCATTCATAATAAAAGTTCTTACTCAAAGGCGTCTTCTGTTTTTATATATTGGAACCTAATACATTAAATTTTATTAAACATTTGTTTTACTTCATAAACTTCGTAATTCATAATCTTAAGCAATAAGATCAACAAAAAAAGATGTTGCGGTAGGTAGACGTATTAAAAAAGAATTCGTTGTTTACTTCTGACAGACCTGTCAAATTTAAGTATTTAATTATAATAAATTTAACCATTATATAAACTAAATAATATGTTTAAAAATAATAATTGTATTTATATGAAATTATTTTAAAACAAGAAGTGTATTAAAAATTTAAACAGATGGTTCAATATTTTATTATTCGGGTGACATTTATCACCTAAATTTTGACAATAGTTGCGAATAGAATCTTTTATATTGACAAATATTGTGTTAATTTATCACTTCTCATGTCTACTAATGTCTTTATTTTGTTAGTTATTTTCATGCAATTTTTAATTTAAACCTGCTTAGAATAATAATATGATGACTAGAAAAGAATTGATCAAAAGTAATGAATCGATTTAAACAACCGGTATTTTGTATCGCTACCTGTGTCGACGCCATATTGTGGCGCTAGTTCCGTGGTGACTACGTCTTGTGGCGATAGTTCCGTGATGCTCTTCTCAGCATTTAACTACAGAGAAAAAAGTAACACAACGCCAGTATAGAAGCTTTGCTTCAAAATTACTGAAAAATATAATTTGTAAAAAGTACTTTGAAAATGAGAGTTAACTAATGTACAAGCAAGTCGCTCTTTCTTAATTTTTCAAAAAAAAACAGACGTTGGCACGTCTTGCTGAATGAAGATGATCTATTATTAATTTGTTTTATTTTAGACACAAAGAAAAGACTATTATTTCCCGTTTTGTTAGAATAAAAGACAGAAATATATGCAGGAATCATAAAACAACTTCACAGAAATTCAACATGTGCATCTTAATTCAATAGATGCAATCAATGGAATGTGAGATATATCTTACTTAAAAAATTAAAAAGAACTGCTTCAAACATGGCAATAATATTTTAGGACTTTACTAAACATACATCAAGAGGAGAACATGGGAACAATATATATATTTTGGAGTAGACCTACCGGTAGAGGACCCCAAAATAAATGAAATGTTGCAAGAAATTAACAAATTGAATAACGAAAAAGCTCCAGGCTCTGACAATATATTGGCTGAATTTCTTTAGTACGGAGAAGAAACTCTACTTAGACAAATACACAAACTAATAACAAATTAATAACACTTATATGGAACGAAGAGAAAATACCAATAAAATGGCACGAAAGTGTAATAATTCCCATTCATAAAAAGGGAGACACCACCAAGAGCTCTAATTATAGAGGCATTTTACCACTTAATACGGCATATAAAATATTATCGAACATCCTATTAAGTAGGCTGACACCGTTTGTAGAAAATTTTATGGGGGAATACCAAGCCGGCTTCAAAAAACATAGATCGACCATAGACTAGATCTTTACTCTAAGAGAGGTGCTTGAAAAATGATGGGAATTCAATAAAACTATCCACAATCAGTTCATAGATTTCCAACAAGGGTACGACAGAATTAAAAAGATTCAGACGTGGAATGCAATGGCAGAATTTTCAGTTAAAAAAAACTTATTCAGTTTGTTAAGTTAGGTGTGAATAGCTGTAAATCCAGAGTACGGATAGGTAACAAACTCTCAGAATCTTTCGAAATTAGCAGTGGCCTGAAACAAAAAGATGTGCTGTCACCTCCCCTTTTTAATATCATCTTGGAGAAAGTAGTAAGAGTAGTATAACTTAAAACAGAATGACTGACAGTAAATGGACCAAAATTACTAGTAGCATACGCAGATGACATTGACATTGTGAGAAACACAGTCACCAATAGGAAGGAGACTTTTAATAAATTGGAGGTAGAGGTAAAGAAAACTGGTTTAAGGATAAACGAAGAGAAAACCAAATAAATATGCATCAACAGACAAAAGGGACGAGATAGAAGAAGGCAAAATGTTACAATAGACCCATATAACTTTGAAAAAGTGAAGAGTTTTAAATATCTCGGACCAACATTGACTGCAGATAACGATATTGCGGAAGAATTCAGGCAGCAAACAGATATATGTTGAACCTTCACAATACTATTAAATCTAAAAGCCTAATACGAACAATAAAGACTAGAATATATTAAACGGTGATTAGACTGGTGCTCATATATGAGTGTGAGACGTGGACCCTAACCAAAGAAACTGAGAATAAACGGAGATATTTTAAGAGGAAAATCCTCAACAGAATCTTTGGGCCTTATCACGACATTAATAGCAACCAACATTCTTCTTCTTCTTTAAGTTCCATCTTCTATCGAAGGTTGGAAATCATCATGGCTATGCGGACTCTGTTGACTGCCGCTCTAAAAAGTTCTGCACTACTGCATTCAAACCATTTCCTTAAGTTCTTAAGCCAGGATATTATTCGTCTTCCCAGATTTCGCTTTCCTCGGATTTTGCCCTGCATAATAAGTTGTAATAATGCGTATTTTTGCCCTCTCATCACATGTCCCAAGTACTCAAGTTTTCGTCTTTAATAGTTAATATTATTTCCGCCTCATTTCCTATCCTTCTAGTTACTTCCATGTTTGACATTCTTTGAATCCATGATATTCGTAGGATTCTTCTGTAACACCAAAATTCAAAGGCGGCCAGCTTATTCAGATGAACTTGTTTTAGTGTCCAAGCTTCCAGACCATAAAGAAGAGTAGAGAACACGCAACATCGAAGAATTCGATGTTCTAACGCTACCGATGCTACGCTAACGATGTTCAGGCGTAGTTCTAACCTTATATCCCGACAACAAAGAAACTTTTTAAGTTTAATAAATGATGTACGTGCTATTTCAATACGTGTCTTAATTTCTTTTGTTTGGTCTACATCTGATGTTATCCATGTTCCTAAATATTTATAGTTATTAACATTCTCAATTGCAGTATCTTCAATAGTCAATTAGATATTTGCATGTGCAGATTTAGTCATGATCATGCATTTAGTTTTCTTTAAATTTATCTTCAGTCCGTACTCATGACAGCGTTCATTAAGGCGTTACATTAGGTTCTGTAAATCATTGTTGTTATCCGTAATTATTACTGTATCGTCTGCAAAACGTAAGTTATTCAAAACTTCTCCATTGATAGATATACCTTCTATTGAGTCTGAGAGCGCTTCTTGAAATATCGCTTCACTGTAGACATTGAAAAGTAGTGGGGACAGCACGCAACCCTGGCGGACTCCTCTCTGTATTTTGATATTTTCGGTGTACTGGCTGTCAACTCTTACCTTGGCAGTTTGATTCCAATATAAATTAGATATAATTTTCAGATCACGACTGTCAATATTTTTGCTTTTTAATATATCTACAAGCTTTTTATGTTGAACTTTATCAAATGCCTTTTCAAAGTCTACAAAACATAAGTACATATCCTGATGTATGTCCATGCATCTCTGAGTCAGCACATTCAAGCCGTACAAAGCATCTCTTGTATTCATACCAATTCTAAAGCCAAATTGTGTGTCACTAATCTCATATTCAAGAGTTTTAACAATTCTGCTGGGAATTATTTTCAAAAATGTTTTTTGAAACATTTCAAACAACCAACATTAAATGGGAATAAATGCTGAGGTCAAGCAGATATATAGAGCGAGCGACATAGTCCAAGAGATTAAATCCCAACGTCTAAGATGGGCTGGCCATGTCCATACACTCCCGAATAACCGCCTTGCCACGTTAATATGGGAGAAAGCCCCCACATGAAGAATGTCCTTAGGACGTCCACGAATGCGATGGAGAGACAATATATGGTCAGATCTAAGAATAATTGGGCTACCCACTGACCCAACTATTATGGACGACCGTTCAAGATGGAAGCAAGATGTGCAGTTAGCCAAAACTTATCCCAGGTTTTAGTGCTAAGAGAAACAGAATAAAAAGAAGAAGAAAAAAATCACGAGAATAAACAGTAAAATAAAAATCTATAAACATATGTAAGATGCCTACGACGTACGCCACGGTATCTAGAGCAGAATTAATAAGAAAAACAAATAATAAAAGCCATTCGAATATTAAGAACTCTCAAGGGACGTTTAGGGATAAAATAATAAAGAAGATGTCACTGGTAGTATAGTGTGTATTGTAAATTTTATGAGATAATGTTGATAGGACAGTAAAAGACAGGAGTGTAAGATAAACTAAAGTTTCGAAACTAAACTTATAAAGGCCAGTAGGCA